TGGGCCCATCAAGAGTACCATCCCTATATATACCGTCTTTCTCCCTCTCAGCAGCCATCAATTGGCAAAAGTTCCTTGGGTTGAGTTGGGATTTTTTACAGACTTCCTCATGTCTAGGCTGGGATTATGTCTGGTTTGACTTGATAGGACTTGCACATGCTGTCACCATTTCTGTGCTCTCATATGAGTAAATGACCAGCTGTCTGGAAGAATCATTTTCCCTGTGGTCATCTACCCTCTCTGGCTCTTACTATTTTTCTGCCTCCACTTCCCCAATAATCTTGAGCCTTTGGAGGCAGGGGTTTGAAATGTATGTCCTGTTCAGGGATAAGCAGTCTGTGGCCTCTTGTTCGCTGCACATTTGCCAATGGTGGGTTTTGATGTTAATCACCATATACTGCATAAGGAAACTTCTCTGGTGAAAGGTTAGAGATCCTATGTGTAGAGACTGCTTTAAGAATGTGTCACTAATGGTCAAGATTCTCAGAGACACTTATTCTCTACATTTGACCAGTTCTGTAACTTTGTAATAGCTTCTATTTGTTGCAACAAGGAGCTTCTTTGATGAGGGGTGAAAGGTACACCTGTGTGTAAATACGAGGATGCATCCTAAGAATAAAATAGAAATTAATTTTCATTAATTTTTATTGATAACAAGAAAAGATTCGGCCAATTCTTGATATGAACAACTCTTGACATGTCCAATGTAAACGAATTTTATTCTTTTGATGTTGGGAATCAAACCTTGAGCTTCATACATGTAGGATAAACACACGATCTCTGAGCTACACGCCTAGCTAGAAAGGGACTGTTGATTGAATTTCTCCATTGTAACAGAGGATAGGAACAAAAAGAGGACGGTGGTGTTTCTTAGACATCTGAATTACCCAGTCCAGCGCAGTGGGAAAAGTGATGGTGTAAAAACCAGTGAAGGGGGTCAGAGAGATGGCTCAGCAGTTAAGAGCAACTGAAGCTCTTGTAGAGGATCCAGATTCAGCTCCTCGCACCCAAATGTTAACAAATAACCATCTCTAACTCTAGTTCCTGAGAATCTGAGACCTTCCTCTGGCCTCTGTAGGCACTGTTTAACATAAGTACATTTAACACCCAAGCAGGAAAACACACACTTAAAATAAAAATAATTTTTATTTTATTTAATAAAATAAAAATAAATAATAAACAGTGCCACGAATGACAGCCAGCTTTCCTTCTTTCCAGAGTTTCTTCTAACCAATCTGAACTCAATTACTCTGGACTTTATTCTTACTCATTATTCTGTTCTACACCTGGTTATTTCCATTAAATACTATACATTAGCACCAATCAAAAAGTCGATTTCAGGAGATTATTTCTCCCCTAATGCACAAATTTAAGCCCCTCACCCATTCATGTATTTATATTTAAAGCAATAGGAATACAGAGAATAAAGTGTTGAAAACCAAAACCATGTACTTCTAGACTTAGGACAGGGATTTAAATGCAATTTTACTTCCCAAATCCTACCCATTTATATATCATCTAAAATAGAATCTTAGCAATGTAAAATGTTTTGAATTTAAAATTACCTTAGTTTAAAAAGTTAATATGTGCTATAAAGCACTTTGAATAGAAAATATTCTGGAATTATTGAAATAATATATTTCTTGTTACATGCAAAACATATTTCAAGGTCTTATCATTAGAGCATAACATCTGCAAAGAGACTATTTATGTCTTTGATAAATAAATCACATGAAGTTGGTAATAAAGAATTAAACTATTCATATATTTCTAACAAGCGTTAGGTATAATTACCTAATTCTTCATTAAAATTCAAAATTGTGAATTTAAATTTCAAGCAATTAAAATAATCCATTTTAATTGCAAGTTATGTTTAAAACCCCAGCAATAATATGGCACTTCTGCAAAACAATTCACATAGTAGTTCTTTTTTCCAGAATTAGAATTGGTAGCACAGGGGAAGAAATTAAGGGCTCTTCACATATTTTGAGAGAAGAAAGCAACAGCAACCAAGTTTCTTACCTATGTCAGTGAGGGGATTAAACCAGTGTGTTTAATCTGAGGTTTATTTCTTCAGTGTGCTGAAAGAATCACACACAGATTTATTCACAGTCTCACAACTTTGTCTCTTTCTTTCCTCAATATGAGTCTATGTTGCAATGAGACTATTCACTACACAAAAGACCACAGGCAACTTGAGATTTGTTATGGAATTAACGATGCAGAAACCATTAACCTTAAAGTGTTTAGGATTCTTAGATTGTGTTGTTCTCTTTTGGAAACAAACAAAAGGCACCTTATAAACCAAAACTAAGAACTTTTACAAAGTGTTCTGAAAGCATTCATTCTTCTCTATTAGGTCATGTGTTGATAGTTGATTATAAACACAATTCAGAAGTCAAAGTGGAGTTGTTGTTCCATGTACTGATTTTACAAGAACACTGGGTCCATATAAACTCATGGTGGTTCAAAAGACATGTGCAGTATTTGATCAGTACAGCAATAGTTTAAGATAGCTGTGATAGATAAAATGAAATGTTTGATAGATAACAGAAATAAATTGTAACGGTGCCAATGGTGTTTTCTTTACTTATGATAAATGGATATCCTAAAATTCAACTTATGAGGAAATATAAAAACTTAATTAATGAACTATTCTTACTGTAGTTGGCCTTATGCTATTATTATTTTTGGATTCGCTGCTCTTTTAGTAAAATCCAAATGTAGAGGTGATGAAACCGATCCTTTCTCCCTCCTCATTCGCATTTTAGTTCTTTAGTTAGAAAACTGCATTCCATCAAGTTGTTTACCAAGTAGAGTCACTGTTACAACTTTTCACATATTTCATATTTTAATTTTATGTGTATGAGTGTATTGCCTACATGTATATATAAGTACACCGAGAAGAATGTGCCGGATTTCCCTGGAACTGTAGTTACAGATGGTTGTTAGCCCTTATATGGATGCTGGGAATCGAACCTGGGTCCTCTGCAAGAGCAGTCAGTGCTCATAACCTCTGAGCCATCTCTCCAGCTCTGACAATGTTATAATTAACTCTTCTTTGCCGCAACCAATTTTTTTTCCTCCAGTTAAAAATATTTAAATTAAGTCACTCATATTAGCACGTGATGTGACAAGGAATGTCATCAAGTACCAAATTCAATTATCACATACACATAATGATACCCTGATTTACTTAGGCCCCTAGGGATATAGGTGGTCTGATATAATGAATATTCTCAAGGCAGTCTCATATAGAGCTCAGAAAAAAGATAATGGCTGATATGACCAAGATTAAAAGTGTATTTTTAACAAAAGAAAATTGGCAATATGTTCAAATTTAAAAGTTAAGTTGCATTTTTTAATTTTTCAAATTTTTCTAAAACTATTTTCAAGTGCAATCTAGAACATTCATTTATCAATAAAGGTTTTTTCATCATATTTGAGAGAAAACTGGAATATAATTAGATGCATGGTTAATTTCCACACTAATATCTTAGGAAATGATTTATTGTTGGAAATTATACAATGTAATCCACTCAGTGGCTATCATCTCTCATATAGACAGATTTCCTTCTCATTTTAATTAAGTTAATATTAAGTCATTATCTATAATTATTAAAAAATCAAAAGTAATAGTTTAAACTTATATTCCCTTCATTTAAAGAAATAGAGAATGCAAAATAGAGAATTTGGTTTCAAAGTTTGTACATATAACTGTAATGATCAAGAGCTTTAAAAGCACTCAATATATCTACTGTCCAGCCATCTAGCAAGTATGCGTCTTTGAAATTTTAGTAATTTTGGCTACTCAAGACTGTAATATTCATTACATATGTTCTCTTCCTTAGCATTTTGAATAATTTATTTTCCATTGTAAAATCTGAGATGTTTATAAAAGTGCCTTTTCATGGATTAGAAAACACATGGATGTGTGGTAGACAGTATGTAGATTAACATTGTGTTTTGACTTGTGAGTACATGAAAGTCCTAAAACGAAATTCTCATAGTTATTGATTCCCTGCTCTATTTCACATTAATAATACATTCTTCGGTTATATAGCTTTCCTTTACACCTTCCATTAGCCAGTTATAAGGTTGTTATGTAACTTGGAAGGATGAGGTAAAATTGTAGCTTTCCTTATTTAATAGATCAGATCAACACAATTATACATCACATCAACAGAGTGAGTTTTTAATGCTAATTATTTTGCCTTATTAATGCTTTAATTTTCAGCCTATAACAAATTAATACTGATGTTGAAAATAAATAATTTTCCATTATCTTAAATAATATAATAAAATACAACCACATGCATGTTTCCTTTTTAAATATTTTTAGAAGCCATACTTTTTAATTAATACCAAACAGTTCTGATGAAAATCACTTCAGTCTTTGTGTTACAATACCTTTATTAAGTAAGAATTTTATAGGCAATATTCTGAAACACATTTATTTTTGCTTTGGTTTCTCCTCAAATTTATAGTTAGCACTTTGTTTATTATATATTAATAATTTAAACATTTTTAAAATATATCTTGCAGAATAATATAGTTGGTATTGGCAAATGACAGCAACAAGATGGCATTATAATCAGAACTATTAATTATATTAACATAGCTAAGGCATTAACAATAGAATAATCATGTTAATTAAATTAGCTGTCATTGTAGTTATATGTTAACATTAATGATTTTCCTATTTGGCATTTGTTATTGTTTCCTTTGTAAAATTATTATTGTCACAAGGTATCATCATTTGACTATTAATCTATTTTTTTTATGCTTATAAGTTTAACAGGCCATAGGAACTTTGGATCCACTAATTTTCCTTTTGGTTGTTTTTATTGAAGCTCTCTTTTTCTACTTATATCCTTATAATCAATAAGGGCAGTTGTGTTTATTGAATAACAATACTAACAACAAGACAGTATTAACAGAAGCAAATCGAAATAGTTCATTACTCTTACATGTCTTTGTGTACTTGTTTTTTCTTGTAGTTAATCTACTAGATTCAAAAACAATTCAAGGGGAGCTGAGCTGGATCTCCTATCCATCACATGGGGTGAGTTCAGTAACCATTAACAGAAATGTGACTCTGTCCTTTGCCTCTCTTGGAGAACATAAGAAGTCACTGATGTGTTTTCTGAAGGAAACTCTGTACTCCTGATGGAAGATTATATTCAAGAGTGTGTTCTGCTATGAAGCTACAGATCATTACAGTGTTTTACTTCTGAATTCATTGATTGATGGAGTAGAATGATTAAATATTTTATTGTTATTGGCTTTCTATAGATGATATAAATGTGGTTATATAAGATATTTGTGATGGGACAAGATAGATAATTCAACAAGAATTAAAAATTTCATATTAGATGTAAAGCATGTTTTGAGTAATGCTAATTTCTGAGTCAGAACCTGAAAAGTAAACCTTGACAATTTCAAGTACAGAAGAATTAATTTGTCAAGAGTACAAACATATGTTGCCTTAATTTGTTTTAAACATTTTGGACTTTCCAGGATTGTTTTAAAACGATTTTATTAAGAGGAAAAATTTAGTATGACTTTAAATTTTAAGCTTTTAATATAATTATTACATGTTATCAATCTAGGCACAGTTTACCAAGGTGTGTGGCATTCTGGTATGCCAAATGTTTTAATAAGGCTTTTATGTAAGAAAATTATCTATTTTCAAAACAGGATGACACATTTGGAAAATTCTCATGCCTCCAAAAACTGTAGTGAATGTCTCAACATATTTTTCTTGTTTCTGAGTATAACTTGCAAGAAATGTGAACTATTTGTCATAAGAATACAGTTAATATATTTTTTTCTTCTGTGATCATCTTTCAAAGAGATTATAATCATGGAGATTTAGTATTCGTGTTCTATTTTTAGATTTGTTTATGTCTAAACACACTGACCTTCACAGTACCATCAGCTCTTCCTTCCCAAAGGGATGCTTTTTCTCAAGGATACTTCATCCATCTGTCATCTTTGTATCTGCTTCTCTTTCCGGAACACCTTGACATTGACAGAATGCCAAAACCCATCACTAGGCCTTCTATAGTTACTTTGGAAGGGAGAGTATGACAGAAGCCAGGAGTTAGCTTTCCCGTAGGTGTAAAGGAATTAAGTGATTGGGATGAAACACAACTTGAATTGTCATAAAAAAAAATGAATCAAAACTCAGGACTGTGCTGGACAATGCATATAATGCTCCCGAGCTAAAAGTTAAACTTTATTTGATTTTAGATTTTAGATATTTGAAAATTTTATTACTTCATCTGTTGCCACATCATGGAAATCTACTGTTTAAGGACACAAGAAATGTATATTGTATACTGACAGTTTTACTAATACATACACACACATGCATACACACGCACGTATGCACCTACTGTTCTTAACAAGAAAAAACTAAGAAAGGTTATGGTCCAATTTCCTGCCTCTCTTTGACCTAGGAATCTCTTCCAGTTCCCCCAGTAAACAGTTTTCAGTTTTTACTTTGCCTCAGAATGGAGGTAGAGAGTTTCTCTCAGACATGGCCTTTCTCCCCTTTGCTTCTCTCTGCTGATCTTGCAGATATGACTTGTCATTTCTGGTGCTTAAAATAGCTCAAAACAACCTCTCTAAGTTTATCGTATTTTTTTTTCAGACAAAGAAAGCAAAAGGCTTCCTATTGCTCTCTCTCTCTCTCTCTCTCTCTCTCTCTCTCTCTCTCTCTCTCTGTGTGTGTGTGTGTGGTATGTATGTGCATATGTGGTGATGTATGCATGTGTATCTGTGTATACATTTATGTGTACACATATTTAAAGGCCAGAGGTCAATATTCAGTGTCTTCCTTTATTACACCTCATTTTAGTTTTTGAGACAGGGTGTCTCACTGAACCTGGAACCTGGCGATATAGCAGGAGATTAGCAAGCTCTGGGTGTGTGTATGCCTCCTCAACACTAGGATTACAGTCACATGCCAGCAAACTTGACTTTTGCTTGGGTGATGGGGATCTGAATTCAAGTCCTTGTGCTTTTGTGGCAAACATTATGCTGAAAGAACCATTTACCCCACAAAAGAAGCCTTTTAATAAGTCTTTAAATTTATAAAGCTCAAAACATATGACTAAGAAGGAAAGAAAATAAAGATAAAATATGTGAATTCTTTGTGATGAGGTTGAGTGTATATTTCCTGTAAATTTATCCCCTATTTAAAGTTAAACAATAAATTTCAATGAGAAATAGTAGTGCATATTTATAAAATATTCAATTGATAGTCATTTCTTCCTATTTAACTTATTGGGAGAAAGCACTGTAAAAAAATTTAAATATGGGATTTAACCTTCTTTGCTTGATAATCATTTGCATCTTTGGATTTCATTAAATTTTTTTAGTTGGTGGTTTGTGGCTGTTGTTTTGTGGGGTTTTTTCTTCTTCTTCTTCTTCTTCTGGTTTGGAGACAGGACAGGGTCCCACTGTGCAGATAACACTTGTCTCCATATAACTTTCCATCCCTATCTGGTCTTGAACTCACAAAACTGCTTCAGCTTCTAGAGCACTGGGATTACTGGGGCATGGCTCTACATCAGAATCTATTTTTGATTGCACAGTCTTTTCCGTTTTCAGTATGACAATGGTAAATGTATTTTGTTTGTAATTGCTTATTATGGAAACAATTATCATACACTTATCAAAGCTTTTCTGTAAAATACAGCATAGAATAGCTAGAACTTGAAATGACTTTAACAAATTAACCCTCACAAAATGTAGTACCTCTTGTTCTGATGCTTAAGTTAACTAAAACATGAGTTTATAAACTCAGAGGAAAAATCAAGAGTAAAAAAATCTTACCATATGGAATCACTAAAAATCATGCTTCATTGATTTAGCACAATGGGTAATGGAATGAAAAGGAAAGAATGGAAGTGGTTTTGATTCTGCCTCATGGGGACGTTTGGCAATGTCTGCATGTATTGCCGTATTGGCGCAGGGGGCATGCAGGCATCTTGTGGAAGAGACCAGGGGTCTGGCTGACCATCTTATGATGAACATGGCAGCCTTCATAACAAAAAATGACAGATCCAAAGGTGTAAAGCTCCTACTTAGGGGATAAGTGGTAGCTTTCCCTCAAGAGCTGTATGTGATTACCAAAGGGATACAAGAGAGCCAGCTGCTCCGTGGACTCCAGTGTACTACATTCAGAAGTTTTCAGTTCAAAAACTCTTGAAATACAAATTTTAAAAATATAATTCATTCAAATCTGAAATCATTTTTTTTCATGGAATGACTGAATCACAGTTCACTGTAGTATGTTTGGGGAGAACAGCCATGAGCAGGACCTTCCTTTATGTGTTTTCTGTTTCTAATGTCTCTGTCTCTTTCCTCCAAAGATGTATTCATGCTACAAAGGATTGATTTCTGTCTCTTCTTTTTGTGCTTTATAATAAAGATAACTTCGTAAGAATTTAAAATAACATTAAGAATGTATGATAATAATTATTATACTAGGACTAATAATACCATGTTATTAGGTTTTAAAAAATCTTTGATAACATTTAATTAAACTATGTTTTCTCTCATGAAGGTCATGAAACTAACACTAAAATTTGGTAACTGAAAGTATCTAAGAGGTTGTGACTTATAACTCACTTTTCGATGAAAAGGTTATATCAGCATATTTTCTGACATCGTATTTGTTCTGTTTTATAAAATAGACATAATTATCTTTTCTTTCCCTCTAGACAAAGGATTATTATATTTGGATTCTAGGTTTACTGGCAGTCAGAAACTTTAGAAAATAATTCAGTTTTAAAACTATTTGATTTTGAGAGATACTAACACATATACAAGCATATCTATCTCCATATGTTCTATATATCTCAGCGAATTACAACTCTAACAGGTTTAACTGACCAGTGAATCAATACTTTAAACTGATTGATGCTAACATCAGTCTACCAAGTAAATTTATGTAGTCTCTGTAACAATAGGAAGGAGATAAGGAAAGTACAGGATTTCACTTAGGGTAGACTTTATGTGCTAGGAATCATAAGCCATAATGCAAGGAAACTGAAATATGAAGAGAATGTGGACCGACAGGGTCTAGATGGTAAGAAAAGCACATGCTGAAATAAGTGATGGGTTTTTTTGCTAAAAGAATTATCAACATTTGCAATTGTGGAATTAAGATTTTCTTAGTTCTGAATATCTTAGCAATAATATTAATCACTTAAATAAAAGAATTCTTGGGCAAATAGAAACCCAGTTGTTTGACCACTTGATATGTGTTCCATAATTTCTCCTGTCCTGCAGAACATGATCTTGTTCACCTTCATGTGTTCCTGGAAACCAGCCCCCTGCAGTTCCTTGGGTGCATGTAAAGCTCATCATGGACATTAGTCATTTTGACAGAGATTGGTTTTAGCAGGAATAAGTAAGGCCAGTGACATTGGAGTGAATACTAGCCACTTCAGAGAAGGGTTTCCTCCTGACAAAGAGAAATGGAGAGATGCCCAGCACCTCCTCCCTCTAGGCTCCCTGGAAAGGCTGAGGGCTGGGAAGCAGCTGCAAAGCCCAGAGAGCATCAGAGAAGGCAACTGGGAGGCCCAGTATCCCTGAGTCCTGAATCCCAGGGAGGCATCTTCTTTGTTTAGGCTACACATCCTAGTATTTCCCATACTTTCAGATTAAAGGCAGCCTGAAAGAAGAGATTGTTTTATCTCTGCTCAAATATCCTACTTTCTTAATATATATTTTAAATAGTTCCAGCCTATGTCCTGCAATTCAATTATAATACAATTAATGTCACAGCAAATTATACTCATTTTTCTCTAGTGTAAATATCAAAATGCTGCAAATAAAGTCTTCTTGACAAGAAATGGAAATGATGAAAATGAATGAATTTCAAAGAAGAATAAAGAACAAGTATATGTCCCAACATAATTCTTCACTCCCTGCTTTCCAGAGCAGTGTAATTCAGGTTGGACTCATGGAATTATTGATATTTCTAAAGTTGGAATATCTAAAGGTGTCCTGGGTTTCTTGCATTCACTTTGTGGATGGGTTTGATAT